TCCGCATCTCGCTAGTAAAATTGGGATCTCTGCTATAATTGATGTCCAGTCCATGAAGGTCATCTGGTAGCAGCCCCACGGAACCACACCTGGTTGGCAAGGCCAAAATGAGGAAGCCAGGTACAAAGAGGGCTTGATATCTGCAAGGAGCTGGCTCTTCTCCGGAGTTCTGGAGGCAAGTAGGGTCACAATTCAGGCACATGGGTATGCCCTGGGGACCAGCTGTGTCAGCGGTGTCTGCATTTTCCATTTCCCTGGCCCAATCCTGCAATGATCCCAACCAGGCACGAGGTAGGTATTGGGAGGCGTGTGTGTGTGTGTGGGGGGATCCTCACTGAGAACAGCCTGTGGCCGGGAGAAGGTGGGAAGAGGAGAACGCTTTGGCCCCCGTCAAGGTGGAGCTGGGCTTGGCGCCACACCTTAGCACTGCACCTGTTCCTGCCCTTCCCTAAGAAGGAAACACCTTCAGGGAAAGAGGAAGCTTCTCAGCCCGGTCTCCGCCAGGGCCTTTCTGGGCTGTGGGGTTTCGCTGCTCCTTCTCCATCCTTGGATTAAATCTCTCTTCCCCAGGCCTTATCTCTGAAGGTGGATTGTCCCAGCAAAGCTGAAGCCTCTTCTCAACGGTAGAGCCATCAGACACCACTTCAGCTCCTTCAAGTACAGCGAGTAACTCGGTGGTGAGAGCTACCTCGGGTGCTAGGGCAAGCTGCCCGGCCCCTCCCCGACCCCTACAGCATGAACAGCGTGTACTCCTACCACTCCTACTAAATGCCACAGCCCAGCCTGGCCTGTCCAACGGGTTCCACTCCAAGCTACACCCTCCCTTCGTTTGCTCTACGGCTTCCCACTCCAGCACACGGTCTTACCCTCTCAGTTCCTAGGTCTGGTGCTGGGGCCACATGGCAGCAATGGCCGTTTTGAGAGCAGCCACACATTCCAACACCTGCACAACAAGCCTGAAGCCCGCCTAACGGTGGTGCTGAGTTCTGCCGAGATGCCGCCAGGCTGTTCAGCGACACCACCACCGCACAAGGCACTCCTCACAACAGCACTGCTACCCAGCCCAAGGAGATATCTTGCTTCCCAAGCCCCCAGATCACAAAACAGGTGTCCAGGGACCCTCTCCCTTCGCTCAGAGCTCCAACCTGCTACAACAGATCCATCAGCAAGGAGCCATAGACCCGCTGACCCAGGCGAGTCTGTGTCCAGAGACCCTGTACAGATGAGCCAACAACACCTCTGCCCGAAGCATCTCAGAATGGGGGACCCAGTCACCTATGGGACAAGTACACAGGAGCGAGCCTCGTCCCCCCAACCAAGGACTACCAGTGTGAATGGCACGATGGGCGTGTTCCCCTTGCTGGGGAGAACCCTGCGATCGTCTCCTCGACAAGCTCAGTTCCTTTGGGCGAGCTGCCTACCCCTTCCCACTTCTCAGATGGCCAGTGGGCTGCTTCCCTGGCGAGGGCAGCAGTCTCTCCCCATCTGGGGAAGGCCTAGCGACAGGCAAACCTTGGAGCCCCTGCAGTTTGGAACAGCACCACTGCGTCTAGGCGGGGCCGGCCTGACTGAGAAGCCGTGGGGCTGGGGGGCAGGGAATTCAGCTCGCTCGTGATAAGGAGTCCTGGTTCCAAGACAAGCTGTGGCACCCATAAAGGAGAGGAGGAGCAGATTCCAACCCCAGGGGCGAACCAGCTGGACATCATGGCTCTTTCGCATGCCTAGGCTCCAGCGAGGCAGCTGTTCGGGCCTGAATCGAGGAAAGCTGTGGGATCGCTTTGGCCTGAGGAGGCCCGACTGCCGGGAGCAGCCCAGCAAGGCTTCGGTGAAGAAGAACGGGAAGGCCGTCTGGGGGGCCTGGGCAGAGGAGCTGCTGGTCGGACAGTGAACACACTTCCTGGATGAGAACATCGGCGGTGTGGCGGTGGCCCCGCACGGCTCCATCCTGCATCGAGTGTGCCGAGAGGAGCTGCACCACCCGACCGCCCGCTCCAGGCCAAGCCCCACTCGCACCACGCACTCGCTGGTCTTCTACAGCACAAGCACCTCAACCAGCCCAAGCACGGCTGGCCTCTGGAAGCCGAGTGAAGCTAGCCGCGCAGAGAAGCCGGCGCAGGGACAGGCCGCCGCCGGCCTGGGCCTGAAAGACCCGGGCCAAGCTCTCACGGAAGCAAGCGCACGCGCCGCGCGGCGTCGGTCTCCGAGCCAGCAGAGGAGAATGAGGTCGTCCCACCCGGTGTGCTGTCGTCAGACTCCGACGGTCACCGTGTCCTCTCGCTCACGAGCGTCACTGCCTACAACCGCTGGATTAGTCGGGGCGCAACTCAGTCGCGGCCGCGCCGGCTCCGTCTGTGGTGCTTTTGCCACTAACCCTGGGGGCGGTTGGGGGTGCAGAAGTCTCTTCATCCTATACTATAATATATAAGTCGCATATCATTATATCGGTTCTCATGGTCCAAACCTCAGAACTGACCCGCCCCTCTTCCCACACTTCCCAGCACTTTGAAGAAGAACTACGGCTGTCGAGTGATTTTTTTCGTGATCTTAATATTTATATCTCCAAGTTGTTTTTCCCTTGTTGGGGGGGCCTTTTATTTTCTCTTTGTTTTTTAAATCTATCCTTGTAATATCACAATAATGGAAAGAAAGTTTATAGTGTCCTTTCACAAGAGTAGCTATTTAAATTCATTTTAAAATGTGTATTTATTGGATTGTTTTTCTTAAAAGCGACAAGTAACCGGTAAAGGATCGGCAGAAGGCCATCATGTGTCATCCCGCAGCCTTGCTGGCCCGCCGAGCCCAGCCCGGCGCTGGGAGGCCCTCTTAGCCATCTGCCCTCCAGAGCCAAAGTGCAGACTGTAGCACCCAGTCCATCCTCTGAACAGACCACCTTCCCTTCGGGAGGGAGCCCTCAGGACAGCTCTCGTCCTCCTCCAACAGTAGGAATGGGAGACGTCTGTTAACAAATAAATCAAAAAACATCTGGGTCCCTCTCCAGTCACTGGCTTGGGTCCGCGGCGCAGATGCACCCCAGTCAGGCCAGAGATGCTGGTATATGTTTATCCAGAAACCAGCGTCTGAAGTAGACAAGCTTCAAGCTTGCCAGTCTCCCACTGAAATCTCACTCTCTGTCCGTGTATTTCACCACGCTGACAGGCTGTTACGGTTCCAGCCAGCACCTCACCGCACGCGAGAGTTGCGGGCTCTCAGAAGCCGCAACCACTCATTGCCAGTCATGAAGACTGGGCGGAAGGAAATTTGTCTAGTTGGCAGGTTTTCTTTAGATGCCAAAAGTCTACATGCTGATCCCCGAGAAAGGTACTGTATCTTTAAAACAGGAGTTGAACCAGCTGTGAACAAGCCAGCGTGCTGTGCGGTGGGTGTCTGTGCTGTGCGTGTCGCTGTGGGGAGCCTGGGTGCTGTTCGGTGTTGTCCTGGGACTTGCTCGACTCTTGGGCAGGTCGCGTCCGCAGGAGCTCAGCAGACTAGTGTAACACAGTTAACACATCTGTCCTTATTCCCTGGATTTCCACATTGGACCAATGGTGCATGCCTCCACACTCCGAGCCCACCCCTCCGTGCTGCCATGTGAGGGCAGGGGGCCTACACTAAACAATTTTTAAAGTGCAAGATCAAACTTATTTTCAGCAGGTTCTATGATTTTCCTCAACCTTAATCTGGGTTTGCCATTTCTCCAGTTCGATCATCTCTTTTTTTCCTCCTCCCTCGAAACACTTACATGTTATTTTTTACATCTTAAAACAGTGCTCCTGATGCCATTTCCCATAAACTACCGTCCCATTCCTCTCTTCCCATTTATAGAAAGAAAGAAAGAAAGAAAGAAAGAAAGAAAGAAAGAAAGAAAGAAAGAAAGAAAGAAAGAAAGAAAGAAAGAAAGAAAAGATAGGAGGATCACTTGAGCCCAGGAATTCAAGACCAGCCGGGCAACCCTGTGTTAAAAAAAAAGAAATAAATGGGGGGGGGGGAGGGAGGAAGGAAAAAAAGAAAATGATCGAATGGAGAAATGGCACCAATTAGGGAGGAAAATCATAGCAACCTGCTGAAAAAGTTTGACTCTTGCACTTTAAAATTGTTAAGTGTAGGCCCCCTGCCCTCACATGGCAGCACGGAGGGGTGGGCTCGGGTGTGAGGCATGCACCATTGTCCAATGTGGAAATCCAGGAATAAGGACAGATGTGTTAACTGCTGTTACACTAGTCTGCTGAGCTCTTGCAGGACACGACCTGCTCAAGAGTCGGGCAAGTCCCAGGACAACACGACAGCACCAGGCTCCCCACAGCACCACGCACAGCACAGAGCACCCACGCACAGCACCGCTGGCTTTTCACAGCTTGGGTTCAACTTCCTGTTTTTAAAGATACAGTAGCCCTTTTTCGGTATCAGCATAGACTTTGGGGCATCTAAAGAAAACCTGCCACTAAGACAAATTCCTTCAGCCCAGGTTTCATTGACTTGGCAAAGTGGTGGTTGCGGCTTCTGAGAGCCCGGCAACTCTCCGTCGTGAGGTGCTGCCTAGTGAACCGTAACATCCTGTCACTTGGTAAATAACGGACAGAGAGGATTCAGTGTGGAGACTAGCAAGCTTGAAGCTGTCTACTTCCAACCTGGTTTCTGGGGAAAACTACACCAGCATCTCTGGGGCCTGGACTGGGGTGCATCTGCCCCTGACTCCAAGCCGGTGACTGGGAGAGGGACCCCAGATGTTTTTTTATTTTTGTTAACAGACTCTCCCATCCTACTGGAGAGGACAGAGGCTGTCCTGAGGGCTCCCTCCCCGAAGGGAAGGGGTCTGTCAGAGGGCTGGACTGGGTGGCTACAGTCTGCACTTGGCTCGTGAGGGGCAGATGGCTAAGAGGGCCTCGCCAGCGGCCGGCTGGGCTCGCGGGGCCCAGCAAGGCTGGGCAGGGATGAGCACTGATGGCCTTTCCTGCCGATCCTTTACCATTACTATTGTCGCTTTTAAAAAAATCCAATAAATACACATTTTAAATGGAATTTAAAACTACTCCTTTGTGAAAGGACACTATAAACTTTCTTTCCATTATTGTGATATACAAGGATAGAGTTTTAAAAACAAAGAGAAAATAAAAGCCCCCCCAAACAAGGGGGAAAAACAACTTGGAGATATAAATATTAAGATCACGGAAAAAAATCACCCGACAGCCGTAGTTTCTTCTTCAAAGTGCTGGGGAAGTGTGGGGAAGGGAGGGGCGGGTCAGTTCTGAGGTTTGGACCATAAATACATATATATGATATGCGTATCTATATATGTATATATAGATAGAAAGACTTCTGCACCCCCAACCCGCCCCCAGGTGTGAGGGCAAAAGCACCACAGAGGCAGCTCGGGCCGGGCCCGACGCTGAGGTACGCTGGCTCCCTGGCACCTAGATCCAGCGGTTGTAGGGGCCAGTGACCTTCGTGTAGGCGTAGGAGGACACGGTGACCGTCGAGTCTGTGGGCACGGACAGCGACACCCGGGTGGGGACGAGCCCCTTCTTCTTCTCCTTCTGCTGGGGCTCGGAGACCACCGCGCCGCCCCACTTGCGCTTCTTCCCGTAGAGCTTGGCCTCGGGCTGCTCCAGGCCCAGCCGGGCGGCCGTCTCCTGCTCCGCCCGCGCCTTCTCTGCCAGCTGCTTCACCTTGGCTTCCCAGAGGGCCAGCCCGTGCTTGGGCTGGTTGAGGTTCTTGTGCTGGTAGAAGACCAGCGAGATGCGGGTGGGGTGGCAGCGGTTGGGCTTCTTGAGCGGCGTGGTGGCGTGCAGCTCCCTCCGGGCACACTCGATGAGGATGGAGCCGTGGGCCGGGGCCACCGCCACACCGCCGATGTTCTCATCCAGGAAGTTGTGTTCACTGTCCGACCACAGCTCCTCCTCTTCCTCAGGGCCGCCCCCAACGGCCTTCTCCTTCTCTTCCTTCACCGAAGCCTTGCTGGGGGGCTGCTCCTCAGTCGGGCCCTCCTCCAGGCCAAAGCGATCCCACAGCTTTTCCTCGGACTTCAGGGCCCCGAACAGCTTCTCGCTGGAGCCTAGGGGCATGCCGAAAGACTGCCATGATTTGTCCAGCTGGTTCGCCCCTGGGGTTGGAATCCTTCCCTCCTCTCCTTTCATGGGGTGCCACAGCTTGTCTTGGAACCCAGGACTGCCTTTCAGAGCAGAGCTGAAATCCCCTGCCCCCAGCCCCCACGGCTTCTCAGTCAGGCCGGGCCCCGCCAAGGCCGAGGTGCTGTTCCCAAACTTGCAGGGGCTCCAAGGTTTGCCTCGCAGCCGTCCTCCAGGATGGGGAGAGGACTGCTGGCCCTCGCCAGGGAACAGCCCCCACTGGCCATCTGAGAAGTGGGAAGGGGTCAGGCAGCTGGCCCCAAAGGAACTGAGCTTGTCAGGGACGATGGCAGGGTTCTCCCCAGAAGGGAACATGCCCCAGCTGCCATTCACACTGGTAGTCCTTTTGGGGGACAGGCTCGGGCCTCCTGTGTACTGTCCCCATAGGTGACTGGGTCCCCCATTCTGAGATGCTTCGGGCAGAGGTGTTTTGCCCATCTTACCAGGGTCTCTGGACACAGACTCGGCCTGGGTCAGCGGGTCTACTGGCTCTTGCTTGATGGATCTGTTGTAGCAGTTGGAGCTCTGAGCGAAGGGAGAGGGGTCCCTGGACACCGGGTGGATCTGGGGGGCCTTGGGAAGCAGATACTCCTTGGGGCCTGGGTAAGCAGGCTGCTGGTGGTGAGGAGTGGGGTGGTGGGTGTCTGCGGGAACAGCCTGGCTGGGCATCTCGGCAAACTCAGCACCACCGTAGGCCGGGCTCAGGCTGTTGTGCAGAGTGTGGAGGTCTGGCTTCTTCTCAAAACTGCCATTGCTGCCACTGTGCCCCCAGGCACCAGGACCTAGGAACTGAGAGGGGAAGACCGGGTTGCTGGAGGGGAAGCCGTAGTAGCCAAACGAAGGGAGGGTGTACTTGGAGTGGAACCCGTTGACAGGGGCCAGGCTGGGCTGTGCATAGTAGGAGTGGTAGGAGTACACGCTGTTCATGCTGTAGGGGTCGGAGGGCCGGCAGTTGCCCAGCACCGAGTAGCTCTCCACCACCGAGTTACCGCTGTACTTGAAGGAGCTGAAGTGGTTCTGTGGCTCTACCTTGAGAGAGGGCTTCAGGCTTTGCTGGGACAATCCACCCTTCAGAGATAGGCCTGGGGAAGAGAGAAACCAAGATGGAGAAGGAGCAGCGAACCCCACAGCCCAGAAAGGCCCTGGCAGAGGACCGGGCTGAGAACTTCCTCTTTCCCTGAGGTGTTTCCTCTTATGGGACAGGCAGGACAGGTGCAGTGCTAAGGTGTGCCCAAGCCCAGCTCCACTTACGGGGGCCAAAGCTCTCCTCTTCCCACCTTCTCCCGTGCCACAGGTTCTCAGTGAAGGATCCCCCCCCCACACACACACACACACCCTCCCAACCTACCTCGTGCCTGGTTGGGATCATTGCAGGATGGGCCAGGGAAATGGAAAATCAGACACCTGACACAGCTGTCCCCAGGGCATACCCATGTGCCCTGAAGTGACCCTACTTGCCTCCAGACTCCGGAGAAGAGCTCAGCTCCTTGCAGATATCAAGCCCTCTTTGTACCTGCTTCCTCATGTGCCTGCCACCAGGTGTGGTGTCCTGGGGCTGCTACAGATACCTTTCAGACTGACACAATTAAGCAGAGATCCCAATTCCTAGCGAGATGCGGAAAGGGCAGGGGCAGGTCGGGCGGGGAGTGCCCCTACCAGGACAGCAGCAGAGTCACCCTGGGGAGTGAGTACCCTCCCCCCACATACCTGGATCGGTTGGGACACCAGCCAGCTCCAGGGCCTCCTGCTTGATCTTATCCGGAGTGCTCAGCTTCTCCTTCTGAAGCTTCTTCTTCTCGGCCGCTGCCTTCCTGGCTTCCAGCTGCCGCTGGCGGCAGGACTTGGCAGGCTCAGGCAGGCGCCGGACCTCACGAGGGAAGGAGGTGAGCACTTGGATGGCTCCACTGCCCACCTTGGCGTTCTGGTTCTCCTCGCTGCCAAACTCGTCCGTGTTGGCCATCTTGTACAGGGGGAGGACGTGCAGCTGCTCATCCTCGGGGATCTTGCCCACACAGCGATTGTCCTCCTTGGTCAGGGTGCAGACCTGCCCAAAGCAGGGGGGAGAGGACACAGGGATTAGGGGACCGAGCATTGGGAGGGAGGGCTCTGGTACCCCAAATACATAACCTTGTCTTTCCCCACACAGTGCCAACGCCGGCAACCCAGTCAGCCCTGACACTACCCCTAGAGCAAGCACCTCTGTCTTGGCTCACAGAGGCAGCACCACCAACTTTGAGAGTGCGCTATAGCTTTCAATACACATTCACACACGATGCTCAGAAGGCTGAAAGGACCCCAAGGCCTGCTCCATCCTCTGCCACAGCACTGTTGCCATTCATCATGTCACCCAATGGGGCCTCCACCCTCCGTGTCCTCAACTCTGCCTCCTTTTGCTCTTAAAAAAATTTTTCTTTTTATTAAAAAGTCTATGTGAGGCCGGGCGCAGTGGCTCACGCCTGTAATCCTAGCACTCTGGGAGGCTGAGGCGGGAGGATGGCTTGAAGTCACAACAGATTCAATGTAAAAGAAAAATTAGAGGCCGTGTGCGGTGGTTCACGCCTGTAATCCTAGCTCTCTGGGAGGCTGAGGCAGGCGGATTGCTTGAGGTCAGGAGTTCGAGGAGTTCGAAACCAGCCTGAGCAAGAGCGGGACCCTGTCTCTACTATAAATAGAAAGAAATTAATTGGCCAACTAATATATATAGAAAAAATTAGCCGGGCATGGTGGCGCATGCCTGTAGTCCCAGTTACTGGGGAGGCTGAGGCAGCAGGATTGCTTGAGCCCAGGAGGAGATTGAGGTTGCTATGAGCTAGGCTGATGCCATGGCACTCACTCTAGCCTGTGCAACAAAGCAAGACTGTCTAAAAAAAAAAAAAAAAAGTCTATGTGATGGTTATAGAAAATTTAGGCAAGCAAAAAGGAAATAAAAATTACCACAATAATCCCACCACCTAGAAATTATCATTGTAAATATTAGGGTTACAGATGCACGCACGATTATTTTCTGATAAACAGGATAGTATGCATATGGTTATTTAGTAAATTCATTTTTTCTTAACATAGTATGAATATTTTCTGGTAAATATTCTTCCCAATATGATTTAAAAGTTCTGCATATTCTTCTACTATATCAGTGTGTTACTTTAATCAATTTATCAAATATTTCAACTTATTTCTAATTATTCTCTACCATAATACTTACTGAAATATTCTTTTAGCTAAATTTTATAAGATACTTAATTCCCTAGGATAAATTCTGTTAAGTAGAACTGCCACATATTGCTCTCCAAAATGATTTAGTTTTTCACTCATCCCCAAAGAACATGCGTTTCAACTTTCCTACATTTTTGCCTATAGTTTTCTTATTAATTTCTTTTAAGATTTTTGTGCCAGGCAAAGTGGCTCATGCCTGTAATCCTAGCACTCTGGGAGGCCAAGGCGAGTGGATTGCCCGAGGTCAGGAGTTCGAAACCAGCCTGAGCAAGAGTGAGACCATGTCTCTACTATAAATAGAAAGAAATTAATTGGACAATTTATATAGAAAAAATTAGCCGGGCATGGTGGCTTATGTCTGTAGTCCCAGCTACTCAGGAGGCTGAGGCAGGAGAATTGCTTGAGCCCAGGAGTTTGAGGTTGCTTGCTGTGAGCTAGGCTGACACCACGGCACTACAGCCTGAGCAACAAAGTGAGACTCTATCTCAAAAAAAAAAAAAAAAAAGATTTTTGGCTCATTATTAAAATCTCTATTGGTATGCATTTCTCAACCAGATGTGCTTTGTTTCAAGTATACTATTCATTCTTGCATTGACTATTTTCCTTTCTATATTTTACAGCAGGGTCTCACTGTCACCCAGGCCAGAGTGCAGCGGCATCATCATAGCTCATGCAACCTCCAACTCCTGGCCTCAAGCGATCCTCCTGACGTGCTAGAATTATAGGGGTGAGCCACTGTGCACAGCCTTATTTTCTATTAATATATCCTTGAACCTCTGGCATAAGGGGTCTTGACTGCCCCTCCCCAGGCTAGTTAATTCACAGAGATACCACCCCAGCCATCTCTGACGTACTTTGCTCTGACCAAACTCTTGCATGGTCACTCTTGCATGGGTTGGACTGGCCATCAGCACTGCTTCCTACCATTCTCTAAGGCCCAATGCCATAAACAACAGACTAAAGGTAAAATGTAAAGGATGAGAGATGGGAGAAATTATATTTCTATCCCAAAAGATACCTAACAAATGTCAAAAGATATGGCCATTCCGACTAAAGAAAGAACAATTACCAAAGGACATCAATAGGATATTCACAAAGATGAAAGTAAAACAGGCAAGAAAACTAGGAAAAGATGTTCAATCTCTCTAGTTATTAAAGAAAATGAGACCATGTTTGCCACTCAGGCAGGGAAAACACTAAAAAAATTCACAAAAAATCCAGTTTTCCAAGTAAACAGAAGTAGCACACTAATCTTGTAAATGTCAGTGTAACCTCATGGAGGTTGCTACACAAAGATGTAATAAGGGTGGCCCCTCCTCATGGTTTATAGAAGGGAGATCTATCTAAAAGCACTCATTGTCCATTGATATGGGATTGGTTAAATAAATGATGGCAGAGACATACATAAATAGCCTCAGAAAATTAAGTCTCTTATCCATTAACACAGGAAGCCCGAGTTACCCTTGAGTTAAGAAAAGCAGGTCAGAGGATAGCATGTATATATGATGTGATCCCATCTGTGAAAAATTTCATATAGTCAGACATGAGCACACACATTTGGGTGTCTGAATGGATGGTCATCAAACTGCTGACAACAATGGTGTTAACCTCCATAAGATTCCAGGCAATCTTTTTAAATTTCATTTTATTTGATACAGGATCTCACGCTGTTCCTCAGGCTAGAGTGCACTGGCATCATCTTCGCTCACTGCAACTCCAACTCCCAGGCTTCAAGCAATCCTCCTACGTCAGCCTTCCAAGTAGCTGGGACTATATGCACCAGCCACCATGCCGGGTGTTTTTTTCACTTTTGTGAAAAAGATATAGAGCTTAGTTATGATGCTCAGGTTAGTCTCACACTCCTAGACTCATGGAATCCTCCTGCCTTGGCTTACTGCAGTGCTGGGAATATAGGCAAGAATCACTGCACTCAGCCTTTTTTTTTTTTTTTTTTCTCGCTTTGTTGCCCAGGCTAGAGTGAGTGCCGTGGTGTCAGCCTAGCTCACAGCAACCTCAAACTCCTGGGCTCAAGCAATCCTTCTGCCTCAGCCTCCCGAGTAGCTGGGACTACAGGCATGCGCCACCATGCCCGGCTTTTTTTCTATATATATTAGTTGGCCAATTAATTTCTTTCTATTTATAGTAGAGACGGGGTCTCACTCTTGGCTCAGGCTGGTTTCAAACTCCTGACCTCGAGCAATCCTCCCGCCGAGGCCTCCCAGAGTGCTAGGATTACAGGTGTGAGCCACCGCGCCCGGCCTCAGCCTCTTTTTTATATTATGTTATTAATTTTTTTTTTACAATGAACAATGTTTAATTACAAAAAACAATACTTTTCAATTCTGGAAACATTTTTTCACCTTAAACTCTAGAAGCTCTGAAATCCAAATAGCCTCACTGAGCCCCCTGATTCCCTGCCTTCCCAGCCCTGGAGGGTCTGCCTTCCTGTATGTTTCAGCTAGAAACCCTTACAAGGGTGCAGACAGGAGCCCGCCCTGTCCTGTTTCTCAGGCTTGGGCATGGGGAGGGAAGACAGGTGAAGAAATGAAATCCTGGGGTGGGGCCAGCAATCTGGAGGGACAGGAGCTACAAGCAGAGCTACAAAGGGAGCCCCCTTTCCCGATGAATGTGCTGCCCCCCTTGCCTCTTCCTCAGCCGCCAGGAGTGCTGTCCACCCAGAGCCTAGCTAAGGAGCAGAGCAGAAACTGGGCGCCATACCTTTGAGGATGTACCCCGAGCCCAGACCTCCTCTCTGCCCCATCCACATCCCTGGTAATCACACCAGCCTCATGCTCCACCTGTGCACTCCATGCTCTCCAGACCCTCCCTCACCCCTACCTACTCCACCCCTATACCTGCACCTCTAGCAGGCATCTCAAAAGAGAATTCTTGATTTTTCACCCCAAACCTGGCCCTTCCCTGTTATTCTACATCTCAGGAAATGCTCCCAATGCTTGCTCTGTTGCTCAAGCAAAACACTTTGTACTGGTCCTCCAGTCTTCTCTCTCGCATCCCATGTACAGCCCCTCAGGAAATCCTCAGAGCCATCCCTTCAGCATCATCCAAAATCTGACCCATTATACGCCCCCTGACTCTGCCTGAGCCCTGTCACCTCTGGCCTGGATGCCCACCCATTTCCTAACTGGCCTCCTTCATCCTATTCCCTCCCCTCGGCCCTGCACCCACAGTCACCATCACATACTTCTTTCTCTACTTGCAGCAATAAAAGTACATGCTTAACTCTGCAATGAGATCTTACCATTGCCCAGCTAAAATGCCCTCCAGCACTTCCCACCACACAGCAAAACCCACAGCCTTGTGGTCACAATAGCTCCCCATGACCCCGCCCTTGCCCATCTCTATGATCTCATTCCCCCTCTTCCCAGCTGCTACTCCTCCTCGGAGCCTCTACCTGTGCCTGTCCCTCTGCCTGGAGCACCCCACCCCACACTCTCTCGCTCTATGCATTTCTCTGCTCAAATGTCCCCTTCTCAGAGAGGCCTTCATCCCTTACCCTACTGCATTTCTTCCCCACTGCCTTCACCGACACGGGGCATTATATCAGATACTTGGGCTGGGACTTTGTCCATTTCATTCCCAGCATCGAGAGCAATGGCTCTGCATGGCTGGTACTCAATTAACGTTTGTCCAATGGATGAATTAAAGGTTTGTTTGGATTTAAATTCAAGTGTCCACCGAGACCTGGAACCATGCTTTAGATAATGGGCGACTCCAGGTGTCCAAAGGGCTGCACCCTGCAGCACCCACCTAAGAAACGACACAAAGCCATCCTTGTCCGTTCACTTTAGTGAGGGATTTCTCTGAGAAGAGGGCAGGAGCAGGCAGTCTGCGGGGCACCTCCCAGAGTTCTGGGCATCCTGTCTCCACGTCCATCCCTATTCTGAGCCTGCCTTTCTGCATAGGTGGGCTCCCTTGCAGGTTCGTCCCCGCAGGTGGGCTGAGACTCCACCCAGGCTTCCTTACCACGGTGCACCCATTGTAGAGGTTATGCTGGTCCTTGTGGGCGTGGGCACAGAAGTCCATGCAGGCTGTGACCCCCGCGAAGGGCCTCCCTTCCTTCAGTCCCAGACGGCAGTCGATCGCTACTTCTTCATTGGTCACCTGTGGGGATGACCAAGGAGAGCTGTTCCTGTGACCTGCAGTGAGTGAGTGGCCCTCATTCTGTACTTGGGGAGGCAGGTCTTGAAGGGAGAGAGGGAGGTTAAGGATCATAGCCGCCTTGTACTTGGACTGCAGTAGGGAAGTTTTCTGGCTAAGAGCCCCCAGCTGCAAAAAAATTACTTTCAGGCCCTTGTGGAAATTGCTCCCTTCTAGGTTACCTCAAGACCCCCTGGGCTCATCTGGAAGGTGCAGGGGTTGTCAGGGGAGAGAAACTTGGCTCACCCATGGGAAACCAGACCTAAGGAGGTGGAAATTAGCAGAGGAAACCCAGAGAAGACCAGAGACAGAGGAGAGATGGTGTGGGATGGGGTCAGCTTGGTGGAAAAGAGGGTCTTATCAAAGACCCCAACATCACTGCTTTACTTCTGTGCTGGGCTCTTCCCATAAGCACACGAAGGAGCCCACTCTCCAGCTTCCCCACTCAGGGAGCCTGGGTGGAGAAAGGCCTGGGCCTCGTACCTGGTTCTGATAGGCCTGAGGGGCCAGCTGCTTGTACAAGGGAGCAACTTCGGTGGCCAGGTCCTGGAAACTCCTCCGGAGCACTTCTTCCTGCGGAGAGCAGAGCAGTCACACACATCCAGGGTGGCCTACTTAAGCTCACACATAGTCTAAAAGCCAGGTTTGGGGGAATAAAGAGTTCCAAATTTCAAAATGCTTCCTTTTACTTATGAAGAGCAAAGCTTGGAAGTCAGAACATAGAAAGTGATACGGGCTTTGGTGTGGAGAAGATGTTCCCAAGGAATGTCCCTGCCCCAGGGGCGAGGGGGAAGCTCTTCTGGGACTAGGACCTTGGAGAGATTTGGAAGGTTGAGACTGGGATCAAGATGTCTGCCTGGGTCCTAGCAAAGGGACTCAGCACCCCGACCCTCAGGAGCCCAGGCAGGGACTGAGGCAGAAGGAGGAGAGCCTGAATAGGCTGGCACCTTCTTTACACTAGAACTCTGGGTGGAGACCCCATCTCTGGAGAGCCTTTGTAACATGAGCTACAGAGAACCATCAGGCGACAAGTGACCTGAGCTAACACTCCGGGCCCCCACAGCTCAAGCAGGGCCCCCACAGCCCAAGCAGGGCCTTCTCCTGTCATCATGGGGGAGTGGGGAGGCTCTGTGGGCAGGGGTAGAGGTGAGAAGCCCAAGCGAAAAGGCCTCATGCTTAGTGGCCGTGCTGTGTGGATGTCAGTCCAGGGCACAAGGACCAGGGCAGGCATGGAGATAACTGCCCAGAGACATCTGCCCAACAGCCAGGCAGGGTGAGGGTCACCTCGGGAAATCCAGCAAAAACCCAAAAGGTGGCCCATGGACTGCAGGCCCCTCTTCCTGATGCACCTATCATACCCAGAAAGATGTCCTGGGAAGAATGAAAGGAAGAGGCGAACCTTTGAGACGGTCACATTCTGACGAGGAATGTCAATATGTAACTTAAATATTTAGAATATTCACCTTAAACAGATTGTTTAAACTGGAAGAATCTTAGAAGCCGTAACTGGTAAGCCTAATTTTTCATGGTTCATGGCTGTCCACACACCCCACATCCCTGTTTCACAGCCAGATACGATCAGTTTAAAAAATGAAGTGAAACAAGTTCCACTTTCAGTGTATCTGAGTCCGGGTGAGCCAGTCCTACCTCCCAGTGAACTACTGAGAACCACAGGCAGCAAAGGCAGGGAAGGAGGGGACCTGTGCTCCCTGCTGCTCTGCTCACCTCTTTGGGATTGTCCCCTGCGAGGCGGAACTTGCGAGGTGTCTTGCTTCGAGCGTATTTACAGCCATTGAAGTACATGCTCCAGGAACAGCCAAAGGAGAAGGAGGCACCGCAGGTGTTGGGGTCTTTGCCTTGGCAAGCGCAGGTCCGGCTGCAACAAACAATACATGACAAATTAGGCATGCAGATCCACTATCCCTTTGTTCTGGAATCTTCTTTCTCCCTCAAGGAGTGGTCCGGCTGAGGCCTGGCATACATTAGCCTACCCCCGAGTGACTGGGACTCCTCCACCTCTGGCCTCCAGCCCCTCTCTCAGATTGCCTCAGCTCCAAGCAGCCTGCTCTGCCCCCACCCTGAGCCTGAAGGTCTAACCCAGAGTCTGCTGTTGGGAGAAGCACAGGGGTTGTTTGGGATGAGGGGGAAGAATCTACTATAAACCCATGAAGGTTTATACTTTTCCTAAGTCTAGTACCTTGACCAGCTCGGACACAGACAGGGAAATAATGTGAAAGCCAGGGGTTGAACATGCCTATTTTCTATAGCTTAGATGTTGACAGGCCTTTACACAAATAAATACTGATATGAAAGTTCAATGCTTAATAAAATGTGGCATCAACCCTGAAGCCCCTAACCGGGGAGTGAATGAACACACGGTGATACATCTACACAGCGGAATACTGCTCAGTGATAAAAAGCAATGAGCTGCTGACACACAGGCCAACACAGATGAAACTCAAAAATGTTATGTTCGGTGGAAGAAAGGCTACACAAGGCATGATCCTATTTATGTGACAATCGTGCAAATGCAAACCTACAGGGGCAGGAAACAAGACTGGTGATTGCCAAGGGCTGAGGGAAGGGGTTGTCTATAAAGGACATGGGGGGACTTGAGGGGTGTTAGAACTGTTCTATATCTTGATTGTGATGGTGGTGGCTACCCGACTGTAAACATTTATCAAAACTCTCTACACTGTATACCTAAAGGATGAATTTTATTGCAAAAAATATACTTAAAAAAAAAATACAAAAACCCCTCTAAGGGCAGGTTTTGTAAATATCATCAACACCTTATATTTGTGGGGCACACATACTTCCTCACACCTGTTCATGGTATTAGCATCTGGACATTGACGTGGGGTTTACCAGTAAAGCTGAGCCAAGGGAACAGACTCAGAAGCCAGGGCCAGGACCTGGGATAAGGCCTGCGTGCAAGCCTTCTTCAACCGCAGTGCTGATTCTGCAGGACAAACGTTGCCCAGGAGAGCCCAGAGCTTTCCCAAGGGCTGCACTGGGTCCCACTCATCCCTGACCCCGCTGCCCCCACATACACATACTGCGCCCCACCACGTACTCATCGTTGAGGCCGCATCTCCGGCTGGTGGGGTTCCCATATTTCCGGAGGGTGTCCGTGAGCTCCTGGTAGAGGGTGTCTCCGAGGCTACGGGGGATGCCCTCCCAGGCCAGGATGAGGATGACGATCACAGCGTTCTGGCAGTAGTGGCCTGCCCGGTGCCGCACCAGGCAGAGCAGCTTCTCTTCCAGCGTATGCCTGCGGATCACCTGCAGGGACACGGGCCGTTCCATTAGCCACAGGAGCCAGGTACTCCCCCTACTCCACGCAGGCACCACATCCCCCTCCCCTCTGCTGCAGGGACCTGGGGGTGCGGTCATCCTGGGGCTGTCACATTGTGGTGACAGCAACCACACAGGCTAAGAGACCATTGTAATTAGGGAATGAAAAACACAAAAGTGTTTGTTTGTTTTTTGAGACAGAGTCTCACTCTGTTGCCCCAGGCTAGAGTGAGTTGTCATGGCGTCAGCCTAGCTCACAGCAACCTCAAACTCCTGGGCTCAAGGGATCTTTCTGCCTCAGCCTCCCCAGCAGCTGGGACTACAGGCATGTGCCACCATGCCCGGGTAACTTTTTCTATATATTTTTAGTTTTCCAGAAAATTTCTTTCTATTTTTAGTAGAAATGGGGTCTTGCTCTTGCTCAGGCTAGTTCTGAACTCCTGACCTTGAGCGATCCTCCAGCCTTGGCCACCCAGAATGCTAGGACTACAGGCGTGAGCCACTTGCGCCTGGCCTCACAAAAGTTCTTTTAAAGAGTGAAATAAAAAATAATTATAAAGTCCAAGTTATTGATGACTGACATAGGGTTTAGCAGGAAAAACACATAGATAAAATTGTAAGTCAAAATACAGTCAGATTTTTATGTTGTCTTAAAACGTTTGCAGAGAAGATAGTGAGTATCTGTGTGTTTTTAGTTAAAAAGGGGGTCAGCCCTGTGGAAAACAGTTCGGTGGTTTCTCAAAAACCTAAACACATAATTACCATATGATCCAGCAATTCCAAGTCTAGGAATATGCCCTGGGCAACTGAGAGCAAGGACTCAGACAGATCCTTGTAGATCCAGGTTCACAGCAGGCTCATTCACAAGACCCAAAAGGTAGAAACAATCCACATGTCTCTCAACCCATGAATGGGTAAAATAGGGATGTCCATACAGTATTATTCAGCTTTAAAATGGAATGAAATTCTCACACATTACAACACGAATAAACCTTGAAAGCATGTTAAGCGAAATATGCCAGACATAAAAGGAAAAATGCTATATGATCCACCTATGAGGTACCTAGAACAGTTGAATTTATAGAGACAGAAAGTAGATTAGAGCTTATCAGGGGCTACAGGAAGGGATGATGGGGAGTTACTGTTAATGGGCATAGAGTTTAAATATGGGATGATAAAAAAGGATGGAAACAGACTGTGGTGATGGCTGCGCAACAATGAATGCACTTAATGCCGCTGACCTATATTTAAAAAGAGTTAAAATGCTTGATTTTTATGTTTACATATTTTACCACAGTTTTAAAAAGTAATGTAAAATACCAAAAGCCACTGAATTGTACACTTCAAACAGGTGACTTGTATGGTATGTGAATTATATCTCCATAAACCTGTTAATTTTTTAAAAAGCAAGGGCCCTGGCCATGAACTGCTCTGCTGCTCTGGATCTGGCAATTCCCTGGTCCAGGTCCTCATTCGACTCTCAAAATGCCCACACACCTCACAGGAAGGATGTGCCCTGGGGAATGCGGTGGCTGAAACTTCCCTAAGGATCCCCAGCCAATTCTGGGACCAAGTTAAGATGTGCGGGCCTATGGCAGGGGGAGCAGGAGGGCAGGCTGAGGGGAACTAAGTGGCAAGGTCTTGAGGCCAGGGCTCCACAAGGGACTGAGAGCTGGGAGATTCATGCTTTAGAAAGGGGTGGCAGAGTCAGAAGGACGGAGACTAGTTGGGGTGCCACTGAAAGGCATGGGCTCCTGAGACATTTAGGAGGAAAGCGGCTTTAGGACCACCTGTCTACAGGGGCTGTGGACAGACGCCCAGAGCAGCAATGTACCAAGGCCCCAGTTCATCCCCCTCCATGGTGCTGCTGTCCTCTCCCTGCCCCAGGAACCGGCTGCTGGTGCCAGGCAAACGTGTTTTGCCTAGCCCTCAGCAAAGCCACACAAGCCCTGGCTGGGGGCTAACACTTTGCCATCTGTATCGAGGTCTGGAAAAGCATATTCTTTTAATGCCATCCACACGACCAGCTGTTCTTTCTTTAAGAAGCCAACCATTTTGAAGCTGGAAAAGTCCCTAACTCTGCCCGTGCCCTAAGAAATTTCATCTTGATTTTCATGCCCAAGACGTTGGAATTCAACAACTGCATGTATTAGCAGAAGGGTGCAGCTGGCACTGTGTGGCTAGTGCCATCCTTCTGGTGGGTACCATGGGGAGATAACACGCCACCAGGATCAGCCTCTTCAGACCTCCCACTGCAGTGACCATCTCTCACCAGGGCGAGGCAACCTGCTTCTTCATATCTGTGAATGCACTAAGCAGTTCCAGATCCTTTTCTTGTGGATAATTCTGAAATGTTCACTGAAAATTGCTAAAAAATGGATATGTGGTAGCTCAAGTTCAGACACCTTTTATTTTCATTAAACACAAAAAGATGCAAAGGTACCAGATATATACATGTTATAAAAAGAGGCACAAGCACAGATGGGCATGTGCTGACAAAGGTCATCTTACCAGCCTCACTTGTGCAAAGTCAGCCCTGTGTGCCCACCTAGCCATTCTACCCTTGCCCAGGTGACAACTCCTCACCAGCAATGCTTCTACTCTCTCCCAGGCCCACAAAACATGGCCCAGTACTCGTGGCCCCAGGCACACACCTCTCCTCGGGGAAACTGAGCCTGAACATTCCTCCCACCCTGAACTACAGCCCAAGTCTGCCTCACAATGGTAACCTAAATTATTCCTGTTCACATGTCTCTAAGGTACAAATGCCTTGAACACAAAGACTGAGCCTTCCCCTGGGCATGTGCTCTCCCTACCAAGCACCAGCACAGTGCTGAGCCCCCAGCTGCCAATGAATGTCAATGTCCTGCCTGAGCACTATTCTGCAGAAGCACCTGCTCTGCTGTTTAGAGACCTCTCTGTGGCCTGGAAGGACAAAGTCAGAGGGACTTTGTTTTGGTGACTTGGGGTCTGAGACACTGATGCTCTCCCTGCTCATACTGCCTGGTAGAAAACTGGGGCTTGGAGGCCAGGCAAGAGCAAGGCTGGTCCACAACCATGCCCAGAAGCCCAGCCTCCTCCCTCTGCCTGGGTGTTAGCATGCCAGCCTTCAGTTTCAGCCTTGGCCTGCAGGCAGGAGACAGGAGCACTTGCAGCTCCATGGCACAGGGAAGGGGACTCAAATGGTCCACAGTGGGGCCCAGCATCAGGTAATGACAGCATCTCCAGCTTCCCCTTTTTTTTACCCCTGCAGGCCTAAACCATGGGGACAGTATGAGCTGGGTGTGATGACTAATGCAGTTCTGAGGCCAGCCTAGGACCTGGAGATTGGCATTTAAACAAGATGGGGGAGGGCAAACAGCTGAGGCTGGGGGAAAATAACTGTAACCAAGTCCCAGACATCAGCTCCAAAGTTCACCTGGACAGCAAACATGTCACCTCCTACATCCCCACCCCACCCCCAACCCCAGCCCTGCTACACAAAGAGGTGAGGACAGTGAGGCTTGACACTCACCCACTTGGCAATGGGGCAGCCACGGGAGCTCTTCCCCTCCTTCCCGGTGTAGATGACCTTCTCGATCCGGATGGCTTTCCCCTTCTCTCCATACCTGCAGAGGGAGACAGAAGCCACCATTAGCAAAGCAGAACACCATAAAAGAGCAGCTTTTGGTAAGAAGGCAGCCTTGGTCTGCTTCAGTTTAGGTTTCTAGTTACTTTGGGGCAACAGAGAAGAAAGAGGAAGGTTTAAATGATTATTCTGTGATTACAGGTTCTATACCAGGCCCTGGTTCACCTGACCCTTCTCTGCTCCTGTCCATCTGGCCCATCTCTGTCCCAGGCAAAGAAGCATAAGCAGAATGCCCCTGATTATTAACTCTGAGCTTCCAGGAAGGGAACTGAAACCAAAGGCTAATCACAGGCATTTGTATCTAGGCCCCGTTAGCTGAGGCACTCTGAGAGTTAGCTGTTTATAAATATAGTACATAAAAGAAAATAAATGGGGGAAACTCATGATGTTCTCTTTGATTAACTTCCAATGACATCTGACCATGATGAGGACATACAGCTACAGCTGGGGGGAAGTGACCCTACCAAGCACAAACACCAGCTCCACGCTTCGCCGGACAGTAAACGAGCCTGGTTCCTCCACATACCGGCTGCCCTGACCCACACACATGTGCACACACAGGGCTTCAGAGCCTCAGATCTCTGAGACCATGTAATCAACCACAATACGCTCAGAGGTGATGAAACTATGGCCCCAGAGTTGAACTGACTTGCCCAAGGCCACACAGCTATGTGGGGGCAATGGTGGTTATAGTATGGTCTTAAGAGTTCAGACAGACTGGGTTTGAGTGCCAGCCCAGCCACTTTCTTTCTAAATAACTATGGCCATGTTACTGAATTTTTCTAAGCCTCAGTTTTCTCATGTGTAAAATGGGGATAAAAATAGGCTCACATCTGTAATCTTAGCACTTTGGGAGGCTTAGGGAGGAGGATTGTTTGAAGTCAAGTTTCAGACCAGTGTGGGCAACATAGCAAGACCTCATCTCTACAAAAAAATTTAAAATTTAAAAATTAGGCAGGTGTGGTGGCACACACCTGTAGTCTTAATTATTTGGTTGGCTGAGGTAGGAGGATCACTTGAGCCCAGAAGAGTTTGAGGTTACAGTGAGCTATGAATGGGCCACTGTACCCTAGCCTCAGTGACAGAGTGAGACCCTGTCTCTAAAAAAAGAAAAAAATGTTTCCTGCCTCTTGGGCTTGGTAAAAATCAAATGATAATCCACTGGGAGTACACTATTAGAAAGAAGTGCTTCAAAGTACTTGGTGAGGGCAGGGCATGGCTCATGCTTGTAATCCTAGAACTCTGGGAGATGGAGGCGGGAGGATCGCTCAAGGTCAGGAGTTTAAGACCAGCCTGAGCAAGAGCAAGAGACCCCTAACTCTACTAAAAACAGAAAGAAATTAGCTGGACAACTAAAAATATATAGAAAAAATTAGCCAGGCATGGTGGTGCATGCCTGTGGCCCCAGCTACTTGGGAGGCCGAGGCAGGAGGATAGCTTGAGCCCAGGAGTTTGAGGTTGCTGTGAGCTAGGCTGACGCCATAGCACTCTAGCCCAGGCAAGAGAGTGAGACTCTGTCTCAAAGAAAAAACAAAACAAAACACAAAACAAAGTACTTGGTGAAGGAAGAGCCTAAGAAATATTACTTATTGTTCTTAATCAAAAAGCTATATTACTGAATATTATTTCTAATAGTTCTTTAATTTCAGGTACAATATCACATCATATGCAAATAATGGCCATTTGCCACCATCTCCTTTCTCCTCTTTATACCTCTATTCAGTCTCTTGTCTCTACTGGCCACACATGTCTCAAGTGTAAGCATGAACCTTTGCTTACTTCTCGATTTTACTGAAAATGTCTTCAACAATTCATTACTGAGCACAAAGCTGGCTTTGGAAAAGAGACAGATTTCCTTGCCTTGCAGGGTGTTGCTGAGGGCCTCCTGGTTCTAAGGATTCTTAATCAAGAGATAATCATTCTTATCAAATCCATGATGGGTTTTTCCTCTTTGACTAATAAACATGGTGTGCTATATTAACAGACTGTCTAAATCAAACTATCCTTGTATGTCTGTAATGAATCAAATTTGATTCCCCCTCTACTTCTAGAATTCTCCACCTCACAAATAACTATACAAATGCACCAAGATTTAGAAACAAGATATTCACTGTAGCATCGGCAGAAAAATTATAAACTAATTGTCCAGTAAGGGACTGGCTATCAACTATAATATATATATATATATTTTTTTTTTGAGACAGTGTCTCACTTTGCCCAGGCTAGAGAGAGTGCCATGGCATCAGCCTAGCTCACAGCAACCTCAAACTCCTGGGCTCAAGTGATCCTACTGCCTCAGACTCCCGAGTAGCTGGGACTACAGGCATGTGCCACCATGCCTGGCTAATTTTTTCTATATATATATTAGTTGGCCAATTCATTTCTTTCTATTTATAGTAGAGACGAGGTCTCGCTCCTTGTTCAGGCTGGTTTCGAACTCCTGACCTTGAGCAATCAGCCCGCCTCGGCCTCCCAGAGTGCTAGGATTACAGGCATGAGCCACCGCACCCAGCCTTATAATATATTTTTATAGTAAAATTTACTTCCATATAATGGAAAACTATGTCATTATCAAAAATGATTAGATAGGATTATATGTACTGACATAGGAAGAAATTATGTGGGGGGCAAAACAAGCTACAAACAGTGGGTATACTGTGATGGATCCCATTTGGCTCAAAATTTCTCTACATACATACATGTATCTTTGTAAATGTCTGGAAAAGATTGAAAGGTAAGCAAACTTTAGAGCTTTATTCACACTTTACTTAGACTTTAAAAAAATCCTTTTCATTTCATTTCTGTAACTGAAAAAGAGAACCATGATTTTTTTAAAAATGCTAAGTTCCTTTGAGTTCAGGTTCTTTATTTCACTCAAGATCTTGGCAAAGTGATGAGAAGTGTTTCTGATAATTACAACATTAAAATTCTAAGACTCTGTTAGTCCCTTATAGAAAGTGTTTGGAGAGAGGACTCTGGAGTTTATATAGCACACTCTGGGTAAAGAGGAAGAGATCAGGTAGTGCTGCTTTGTTTAGTTCATGGACAACTTTCATTTCAACAAGCATTTATTAGGAAGCTCCCCACAAGTGCAGGGCCTGGGCCCGTGGTGTGTCCCTGGGATCCCTGTCGGGAAGAACAGCCCGAGGTGACCACACTACTCTGAGACAGGAGGACTCTCATGTTCCTCCCAGGAGGGTGAGCTGAGGACACGGACGCTGGCTTTCTAACCAGGTCCTTCCCTACCATCCTGCCCTTGCGAGAAATGCATCCTGCAGTCAACTTCACATAAGACAGCAAATAAAAGGGCCAGTCTGATCAGCTAGATGTAAAATAAAAAAAAGAGAAAGAGAACTGTTTAAAGATAACCAACCAACTCAAACACAGTCTGATCAGCTAGATGGATAAAAAAAAAAAGGAGAACTGTGTTTACAGATAACCAACCAACTCTCCCGTTAGTTTTTTTTTCTTAAATTTCTTACTTTCTGGCCTATCATGAAGAGGCTCTAATAGTGTGTATGTGTATGTGTATGTATGTATGTATGTGTGTGTGTGTATATGTATGTATGTGTGTGTGTGTGTATATATATATATACATATATATATATATATATACACACACACACATATATATACACACACATATATTTAGAGATAGGGTCTTGTAATGTTGCCCAGGCTGGACCTGAACTCCTATGCTCAAGTGATCTTCTCACCCCAGGCTCCTAAATAGCTGGGACTATGATGTGTGCCACCATGCCTGGCTCCTTCTAGTATAGAGGCTAACTTCTAGACTGTAAACTAAGTCTCCAAGGCTGAAACCTTATTCTAAAAGGTAGCTGGTAATCTTAGCCAGTGGTTCTCCATGGGTAGTGCCAGGGCCAGCAGCATCACCGCAGCCTGGTGATTTGGCAGGAAGGGAACACAGACTCTTGGGTCCCAGCACAGACCTGCCTGGTCAGAAGCTTGCCTGGGGCCCAGCCATGTGTGCCTCTGTGCCTCAAGACATTCTGAGGCCTGTTGAACTTTGATAATCGCTGTTCTAAAGTTGTGCTCCTTCAGGGTCATCTGTATCACACAGTCATGAGACCAGCTTGCCCAAAGCTCAGAAGACTTGGTAGCACAATGTTCATTCTTGTCTCTAGAACAAGCATTTACTGCACGCCTAGACTGCAGAGAATCCCCTTCCCAGATAGAACACGTGAGGCTCTGTGCGGTGCATCATTCTCAGATATAGGTTTTGACAACTGACTCCAATTATCTATGACAATCAGTACCTGGATACCCAGGAGGTATGAATCCTACATTGAGATATTTCATGGTTTGCTTTCAACCTCGACCTCCTTTCTCCAAATCTTTACCAGAGAAGCTAAAAGCACCGAAATGTCTCCTTAATTTCAGTTTATTTCCACTCCCTGCCTCTGGCCAACTCCTGAAAACTGAGTGGTCCTGCGGAGAAGGAGTTGAGGGGAGAGGTCAAGGGAAAGAGACAGCTTGGATCATTCACAAATTATACCCCCAGCCAGGGGATTTTCACTGATCATTCATTCCCCTCCTTGTTCCAGAAAGGATTTTAAAAAGATGTCTATAAGATAAAAATAACAGGTCATAAAATCAAAGTACACAGGGGGGAAAAAAGATATTATGGAATACAAAATGAAATCACAGGGGTCTTGTGTGTGTTTTTGAGAGATAGCCTGGAACATCTGTCATATCAGAAATCAAAAAAGCTACTAAAGGCCTGTTAGGGTCATGTCAAAAAAAACCACAAAAAACAAAAAAAGAAACCCAAAAAACTCAGGAGTGAAACTGAATATGCTCCATAGGCTAAAGATGAGAAATCACCTTCCTCCTAATGGTGGTACACAAATCTGGCTCTAAGTTTACTAGCAGCCAACATAAAGATGGAAATGCAATCTGTTCCATGATTTACAAGGTCCTTAAGATAAAAATAAACCAGTTGCTAAGGAAAAACACAAGTATTCCTGGTCTTTAGAGGAATTCCTCCCTTGGATCACTTTACAGTTGGCTGTTATTTTTTAAAGCAATGGGGGGAGGGGAGACAAATCTTAACTTTATAACTACTCCTTAATCCTTATTTCAAAATGTACTCTTCTATAACTAAGAGTTGAGAGAGCTGTCTGGAAAAAATCTTGTAAAATTGTTACCCAAAAAAACCCCAAATCAAAAAACCTGCCCCAGATCAAACTTGCACATTTGACACCCTGTAGCAAATGATTTTGCTTACAAAAATCATTGTCCAGCTGGGCCCAGTGGCTCACGCCTGTAATCCTAGCACTCTGGGAGGCCTAGGCAGGCGGATTGCTCGAGGGTCAGGAGTTCGAAACCAGCCTGAGCAAGACTGAGACCCCGTTTCTACTATAAATAGAAAGAAATTAATTGGCCAACTTATAGAAAAAATTAGCCGGGCATGGTGGCGCATGCCTGTAGTCCCAGCTACTCGGGAGGCTGAGGCAGCAGGATTGCTTGAGCCCAGGAGTTTGAGGTTGCTGTGAGCTAGGCAGACACCATGGCACTCACTCTAGCCTGGGCAAAGTGAGACTCTGTCTCAAAAAAAAAAAAAAAAAATCATTGACCTTAAAATCTGTACCCCCATAATATGCCAAAATAAAAAAAAATAAATAAAAAAAAAAATCATTGCCCCAAATGTTGCCTGGCCCAACCTGGGAACCACACCACACATGATGTGGACACATGCAGGCAAATGTAGACAATATGCACATAGTTTTAAATGTGTTTCATTCTCATGGACTCAGAAGTACCCTTTAAATCAGGCTTGAATTTACTGATTAGGTCTTGGACCAAATACTTTTCTGATGGGCTACCCTGAATATAAATGTTTCCACATGGCATAGGAAATTTAAAGTAATTATCACAGATCACTATCCTCCATACATCTCCCCTTTTATTCATTCAGAGGAGCCATTACAGTTAAAAATCAGTTAAAAATCATTCAGTTAAAAATCATGTTCCCTGCTATACTGACAACAGGATTCGTTTAGCTCCCCTGGTCAGACAAAATCTGGTTCCCAAATTTGTGGGATTTTTCTAAGCCACTCTGCTCCCCACATATCTGCAAGTATACATATGGGGAAACATATGCTTATTGTCTACATAATCCTAGCCTTTATTATTAAAATACTAATGCTTGCAGTAAGAAAGGCAAGTATATGTGGTAGACAATGATTGTCCACTCTTTCTATATTACTTATAACAAGCACTATGCATTTTCCATACATCAATTCAGTTTATCCCCACAACACTCTTACAGCATATGTACTTTTATCATAATCTGAATTTTGCCCATAAGAAAACTGAGTCACAGAAGAGTAGAGCAATTTACCAAAGGACTCAGCAGTGTCAAAGCCAAGACTGGACCTTACTTTAACGTCGTTTCTTTTTCCTATAATTTTTAGTTGGCTAATTAATTTCTTTCTATATTTTTAGTAGAGATGGGGTCTCACTCTTGCTCAAGCTGGTCTCGAACTCCTGAGCTCAAACGATCCTCCCGCCTTGGCCTCCCAGAGAGCTAAGACTACAGGTGTGAGCCACCACACGCCTGGCCCTGGACCTTACTTTAGAGTTCCAGAGTCCGTGTTCTCAGCCATCGAGCTATTACCTCTGCATAGACTAGAACTCAGAGTATTTTACTATCTGCTGTGGGCATGTACATAGTTTTTTGATTTTGTTTTTTTACGGACAGAGTCTCATTCTGTTGCCCAGGCTGGAGTGCAGTGGTGTCATCATAGCTCACTGCAACCTCAAACACCTGGGTTCAATTGATCCTCCTGCCTCAGTCTCCTGAAGAGCTGGGACTTCCTATAGGAGGCACATGCCACCATGCCTGGCTTTTTTTTTTTTTTAAATTTTTGGAGAGATGGCATCTTGCTATGTTACTCAGGTTGGTCTTAAACTCCTGGCCTTAAGCAATTGTCCTGCCTCAGCCTCCCAAAGTTCGGGGATTATAGGCATGAGACATTATGCCCAGCCTGGTTTTAAAGTCTCCATCTATATGATCTGCTTAAGAAAAAAACAGACCTATTGCATAAAAGCCCTATAATCTTAAATTTGAACTTTGTAAATATAAGCACATGATTTATTTAATCACTAAGCAATAACAAAATTTAAAAATCCCAGACTTAACATAGCTCTTTCTACTGAAATGGTCTAAAAACAATGAACACATTACAGCAATGAGTAACCCTACTTAAAGTCTGTTTTCCAAACACTTTCTCCTCCAATAAAAGGAACTATGACTTCTTGGATAAACATACATCATGAGCCCAGAATACCCGGTCATACGAGAAATCAAGAAAGATATTAAAGACTCTAGGATCATATCAAAGGGATTCAGACCACCTAGACAGGCTCCTAACTAGCAAAAGGTGAGACATTACATTCCTAGTAGTGGAGGTACAAAAATATCACCTTTGAAATATTCTGGAAAAAAGAAAAAACAACCTAACTCCAACAAGGCCTTTAGATCTAACAACCAATTTAGAGGACATACAGAGGGGATGTTAAACAATACCATGATACCAGGGAGAGCCATCAGCAAAATTCAGATGGTGGGAAACTAACCCTATAGAATACAGCCACAGAACCACATTTCTTCAATAAAAACATGTCAAGAAGGTGGGGGCATATGTTGGATGGACCTATAGAGTAAAAGAAACCCAAAAGCAATGAAAGTGAGAATCCCACATTCAACCTTCCATAATCTGGATATCATGCTGTCCTTTCTGTATGCTGTCTAGTACAAGCCAATGAAAAATGAGAGGTGCTTAAAAGAAATTCATATGCCATCAACATGCCCATTTCTCCTTGGACATCTGTGCATCACTTACCGCTCCTCCATGAGTTCCCGTATAGAGGCTACCGTGGGGCCTGATCCCAGGTGAGTATAATATGGGCCTTCATCTTTCTCCACTATTTGTTCTGTGGAAACACAGAGTAAGCATTATTTGGGGATACCAATTAGTCAACATTGATCTAGAAAGGCAAACCACCAACAGAAAAATTAATAGGCAGTTACAAAATAAGAAACCCACATGGCTTATAAGCATGTGAAAATGTGTTCAACCTTATTAAGAATCAAGAAATACAAACTGGCTGGGCGCGGTGGCTCACGCCTGTAATCCCAGCACTCTGGGAGGCCGAGGCGGGCGGATCGCTCGAGGTCAGGAGTTCGAAACCACCCTGAGCAAGAGTGAGATCCCGTCTCTACTATAAATAGAAAGAAATTAATTGGCCATCTGATATATATAGAAAAAATTAGCCGGGTATGGTGGCACATGCCTGTAGTTCCCAGCTACTCAGGAGGCTGAGGCAGTAGGGTTGCTTGAGCCCAGGAGTTTGAGGTTGCTGTGAGCTAAGCTGACGCCACGGCACTCACTCTAGCCTGGGCAACAAAGCGAGACACTGCACAGCCAAAGAAACAGTCATGAAGGTAGGCAGACAACCTACAGAATGGGAGAAAATTTTTGCATCCTATGTATCCGATAAAGGACTGATAACTAGAATATACTTAGAACTCACGAAAATCAGCAAGAAAAAATCAAATAACCCTATTAAAAAGTGGGCAAAGGACATGAACAGAAACTTTTCTAAAGAAGACAGAAGAATGGCCAACAAACATATGAAAAAATGCTCACCATCCCTAATCATCAGGGAAATGCAAATCAAAACTACAATGAGATATCACTTAACTCCAGTGAGAATGGCCTTTATCAAAAAGTCTCCAAATAACAAATGCTGGCGTGGTTGTGGAGAGAGAGGAACACTCCTACACTGCTGGTGGGACTGCAAACTAGTTCAACCTCTGTGGAAAGCAATATGGAGATACCTTAAAGCGATACAAGTGAATATACCATTTGATCCAGCAATCCCATTGCTGGGCATCTACCCAAATGATCCAGTGACACTCTACAAAAAAAACACCTGCACTCGAATGTTTATAGCAGCACAATTCATAATTGCAAGGCTGTGGAAACAGCCCAAGTGCCCATCAATCCAAGAATGGATTAATAAAATGTGGTATATGTATACCATGGAGTACTATTCAGCTCTAAGAAACAACGGTGATATAGCACATCTTATATTTTCCTGGTTAGAGCTGGAACCCATACTACTAAGTGAAGTATCCCAAGAATGGAAAAACAAGCACCAGATATATTCTCCAGCAAACTGGTATTAACTGAGTAGCACCTAAGTGGACACACAGGTGCTACAGTAATAGGGTATTGGGGAGGTGGGAGGGGGGAGGGGGGCGGGTATATACATGCATAATGAGTGAGATGTGCACCATCTGGGGGATGGTCATGATGGAGACTCAGACTTTTGGGGGGAGGGGGGGAAATGGGCATTTATTGAAACCTTGACATCTGTACCCCCATAGTATGCCAAAAAAAAAAAAAAAAAAGAAATACAAACTGAAAATCACAATGAAACACCATTATACACAGATCAAATTGGCACAAATGTTAAAACCTGATAAAACCAAGTGCTGTCAAGACTGTGATCTAACCACTTTGGAATTCAGCTTATCATTATTCTGTAAAGCTAAACAGTTGCAACCAGCAAGACCCAGCAATTCCATTTTTAGATATATACTCTAGACCAGGAGTCGGCAAGCTGCTTTACTCCTAGGTAAATAACCCCCAAAGATTTGAAAAGAGAGACTCAAATGTATACTTTGCCAGTGTTCATAGCAGCATTCATTCTCCACAAGCAAAAGATAAAAACAACACAAGTGTCCATCAACAGATGAATGGAAAAGTATTTGGCCATTAGGCCAGGGCAGTGGCTCATGCCTATAATCCTAGCACCCTGGGAGGCCAAGGCGAGCAGATTGCTCCAGGTCAGGAGTTCGAAACCAGCCTGAGCAAGAGTGAGACCCCCATATCTACTATAAAAAGAAAGAAAATTAATTGAACTAAAAATATATAGAAAAAAAATATTAACCGGGCATGGTGGCACATGCCTGTAGACCTAGCTACTCAGGAGACTGAGGCAGAAGGACTGCTTGAGCCCAGGAGTTTGAGGTTGCTGTGAGCTAGGCTGATGCCACGGCACCCTAGCCCGAGCAACAGAGTGAGACTGTGTCTCAAAAAAATTAAAAGAAAAAAAAAAGGTATTTGGCCATTAAAAAGAATGAAGTTCAGATACTTGCTAATACATGTATCAACCTTAAAAACACTATGCTAAGTGAAACGAGCCAGACACAAAAGGGCAAATACTGTACGATTCCACTGATTATGAAATACCTAGAAGAGTCAAATTCAGAGACAGAAAGTAGATTAGCGGTTATCAGGGGCTGGGAGGAGTAGGAAACGGGGAGTTATTGCTTAACAGGGACTGAATTTCTGGTTAGGGTCATGGAAGTTTTAGAAATAGTGGTGACAGGCCTGGCGCAGTGGCTCAGGCCTGTAATCCTAGCACTCTGGGAGGCCGAGGCAGGTGGATTGCTCGAGGTCAGGAGTTCGAAACCAGCCTGAGCAAGAGCGAGACCCTGTCTCTACTATAATTAGAAAGAAATTAATTGGCCAACTAATATATATAGAAAAATTACTAGGGCATAGTGGCATATGCCTGTAGTCCCAGCTACTCGGGAGGCTGAAGCAGTAGGATTGCTTGAGCCCAGGAGTTTGAGGTTGCCATGAGCTAGGCTGACGCAAAGGCACTCACTCTAGCCTGGGCAACAAAGTGAGACAAAGAAAGGAAAGAAAGGGGGAGAGAGGGAGAGACAGGGAGAGGGAGAGAGAGACAGACAGACAGACACAGAGACAGAAATAGTGGTGAAAACTGCACAATATGGTGAATGTAATGAATGCCACATAACTGTCCATGTAAATATGGTTTAAATGGCAAAATTTTATGTTATATATATTTAACCACAACCTTTTTTTAAAAAGGAAACAAAGGACTAATACATGCTACAATGTGGAACAACCTTGAAAATAGTATTAACTGAAAGATACCAGACACAAGAAGTTCACATGTTATGTCTCCATTCATATGTAATATCCACAATAGGTAAATCTATAAAAATAGAAAGCATGGATGGGGAAAGCAGTGACATCGCCAGGCTCCACCCCCTCACTTGACCACTGTTAAATATTAAAAAAAAATAATAAAAATAAATAGAAAGCAGATTGGTGGTTGCCAGAGGCTGGGGCAGGGGAAGGGAGGAAGGAATGGGGACAAATTGCTTATGGGTAAGCAGAGTTTTACTGAGAGTGATGAAAATGTTTTGGAACTAGAGAGATGGTTGTACAACATGAACTGCATCTATAACAAAAGAAGGACCATCAGTGGAAAAACAGATGGAATCCAAAAAGTCTGTAGTAATAGTATTGTACCAACATTAATTTCTTAGTTTCAAATATATCACAATGATAAGACATTTACGTTAAGGGAAGTTATATAAAGGCTATACAGGAACTCTACACCAACTCTGCAACTCTCCTATAAATGTAAAATTACTTCAAAATAAAAAGTATTAAAAAAGTAAAATATAAAACAAATAAACCGAAAACCAGGCAGTGAGTCATAATTTGCTGATCCTGTCCTGAAAATCCTGGTCACACATATTAAAACACACATACAAGGATTTTCATAGCAACAGCGTTTGCAATAGTCAAAACTGAAGACAACCTGCTATGGACTGAATGTTTGTGTCCCCCAGATTCATCTGGTGAAGCCTAATCCCCAATGTAATGGCATTTGGAGGTGAGGCTTAGGGGAGGTAATTGGGCCAGGAGAGTGGAGCCCTACTGAATGAGATTAGTGCCCTTATAGGGGACATCAGACAGCCTGCTTTGTCGCTCTCCCCTCTCAGCCATTTGAGGATACAGTGAGGAGGCAGCAGTCTACAAACTGGGAAGAGAACCCCTCACCAGATACCAGATCTGCTGGTGCTTTAATTTTGGAATTCCCAGCCTCCCCTCCAGAATTGTGAGAAATAAATGATTGTAGTTTTAGCCACTCAGTCTATGGTATGTTTGTTATAGCACCCCAAATTGACTAAACCACAGCCCATAATCCCGCAACAGTGGAATAGACAAATGAAATGTCCTAGTTATATAACAATGTATCCAGCAATGAGAATCAACAACCTGCATGCAACCCATGGTGACTACTACATCACAGTGAGTGAAGGAAGCATAAACGTAGGAGTACAGTGGATTCCATTTAAACAATACTCAGTTGCTCAGCTAAACTATCCTCTTTAGAGAGCCATACATAACTGGTAAAAAATTACTAGGTTAAAATATAAATTTTAATTACAGATATTCAATGATTTTTGACCTACAAAAAATGGCAATTTCATATGGTTTGACCTTAACATAAAGAAAAGCAAGGAAATCACTGTCACAAAAGTCAAGAGAGTTGTTACTTCTGGGAGATGGGAGAGGAATGTGTTTAGGAAGGATATACAGGGGATGGGGGGGGGCAGGAAATGGCCTATTTCTTGATCTAGGTGATGGTTACAAAGGTGTGCATTTAATAAATTTTCAAACTGTACATGTTTTGGTACTTTATGTATAGAAACAATTTTTAATATGTAAAAATATTAATTTCATACCGATTTTATGAAAATCAGTATGCTCAGCTTTATGGGGGATACTAGACAGGATAATACCAGATTGTTGCCTTTAAATATTAATAGTATATGACCTAGCTGGGTAGACAAGACCCACACATAAGAAGATACCTGATGACATTTCATGTCACTGGGAAAGATTAAATTTTCAAGGCATGGTGTTAGGACAACTGGGGAAAAACCTTTGATCCATACTTAATATTTTACTCCCAAAATACATTCCAAATAGTTGAAAGATTTAAATAATAAAAAAAAAAATCAAATTATACAAGTGTTGGATGGAAAAAATGGAAGAGATTTTAAAAATAATCATGGAGTAGGGAAGGTCTTCTGT